GTTAGGATATTATAAGTGGCATCTTCGAGAGGAAGAACGGAACGCAAAGGAGTGACGCTACAGACTGGTAAACAGTTAGGAAAAAGGACAGTCTCACAGATGCTTTACAGTACATTACACGAAATAATGAAATTATCGAAAAAGATGGAATACGAGAACAGAATCAGCTGAAATTTGATTGGTAAGATGTGCTGGTAGAACACAATCGTAGCCAATAACTACAACTCAGAACACATCGTCGAAAGGACGCAAACAGAACGAATGGATGCTAGAACTGGATAGAAAGACACGAAACATCTGGAACATGTGCGGGGAGCCACATTTAACAGCAGATACAAACAAACTATATGTCCCGTGCAAAAAACGACAATAAAAGATTTCTTAGTATCGAATATACCCAGGAACTAGAGAGCCGTTTCTATCTAGCAATGGTAGTAGACGTGTAAAAGCTAACGGCTTATGCAAACTAGAATATCAAATATCAAAGGCAGAAAATCATAGCAAAATGAAGAGAACGCCTCATAAAATGGTTATAAGAATACATAGCTAGACGAAAAGTATATTTGGCAGCTCGATGAAGATATAGACATCTACGATGCTTTGAAATGGCCATCAAGAAGTGGACTTCTTGGCGAAATGAAAGCAATTCCATAGCCGCCAAAGATCAAGCAGTGCAAACGCAGTCAGGAGAAGAGTGCAGAACGTGCCAATTGAAGGATGAGGTCGTGACTCACACAATTTTCCCCAGCGAAACAAACGCGAGTCACGAATAAATGGAAAGAAATAACAACGTTGCAAGGATAGCTCATTGTCATTTGGTAAATTTGGCGACCGAACTCATCCCTGGTTCGAGTTGAAGCGATATCCATAAGATTCATACTGTATCTCATGAACAACATTTCAGGTATTCTCTGACACTGATGTCTGATTTTCATGCAAGGCACCTTGCAAAACTACCGTATACGTCTTTTTGTTATAATAAAAATTTTGCCGTTGAGTAACAGTACGATCAAAACGCGCATACTTCGCACTTTATACCAGTCCTCGCCTTACTCATCTTCCATAAACCAGCATCGCATATTATTTTATTAGCATACGACTACAGAGAATAAACTACTAATGGACGTGGGAGATGTTATGAGAGGACAGTGTTGCTGATTATAAGCAAAATATGAAGTGATGACGAGATCAGAACGGCATGCCGTTGTATCTTATAACCTTAGGATAAAAGGTCAGAATCCATGCAATTTTCCTTGTCATCTGTCAGCTACAGTGTACAAAAAATCAACTGGCGCACTGATTCAGTCAATAAATTCATAGTTGGTAAGGGGGTTGTATGAATTGTGCCTTCACATTATCACTCCAACGATGATGAATATGATAATGCTAAAAAAGGCATTGGCTTATTTCAACAACCTGTCATAAGCTTTCTGATATTTGCTCCTTCATTAACTCAAGATCGGTTAATGATACAAGACATGTGACCAAAGTTTCCTGCTTTTACTTCAGTGTTTTGTATTTAGTCAAGCTGACGCAGTCGCAAAAGCCTCAAGCTCACAGTCGAAAAGACATGAGTTTCAACTGCGCCAGGTCACTCGCTTTCGTCCTTACCAGAGAGATAAAATAATACCACTTTGTGGGAGAGGTAATGAGAGGATATTCGCTGTACTTGCCACACAACCGCCTTTAAAACAAGACACTTCTGGTAGATGGCATACAAATTGAGATCAGCACTGCACCATAAGCTTGATGTCAAGAAGCAAAATGGAGCTCACTCATGAAAGCATAAGAGGTTCACATCCAAACGGTTACAAGCTTTCTTACTCGATTTGCTCTACATCCTGTGCTTGAGATGTTTGGCGCCTAACTCTGGTCTAAAAATCATCCCTGCAAGTCTTATTATCCATCAGGAACGACGACCCTCTCTTTAATTCCGCGCTGAGAGGCTTTACTTCCCTCGAGTCAAAACATGTCGGCGAGGCAGTGACTTGTATTTCGCGTAAGGGATTGGAAAATGGGAAGAAACCAGCTGTTAGATTTTCCTTTATAATAGTATGTGCAAAAATTCACAAGTAAATTTACAGTAAGAACGGCGGACCCTTTCTGTGACTTCTTGCGCTTAGTCCAGCATCGTGCAGAGCCGCACTCCGCGTTAATAATGTCGTGCAAAAAGGGACCACGGCTTAAACGAAAACACTACATTAGAGAAATTAAGGATGAAAGTCGGTTTGAAGTCCCCAGCCAGCCGATTGCCTCTGATTGTTAAATATCATCGTACCAACTTTGGATCTGAATGAT